ATTTATATATATCTATATTTTTAAAGTGACTTTTAAGTGAAAAATATTAATAATAATAATAATAATTTTTTTATATTATTTAGAAATTTTATTTATACTATACTTTTTATTTCAATAACCCTTTTATTATTATTATTATTTGATTGTATGATATTTACAGTATTATATGTTTTTCAACAATAATTTCTATTATATAGACTATTGTATGCTATTTAATATATTTAATATATATAAAAATAAATAATAATAATAAATTTAAGTAATATTTCTATATTATATGTATTTAAAATAAAAAACAAATTTTTCATGAAAAAAAATATTTTGCGTAAAATACTTGAGGAAATACTTTAATAATAATAATAAGTATTTTATTTATACTTATTATTGCATGAAATCTGAATTAAATTTTATTTTTTTGAAAAATATTATTTGCTTTTTAGTTATTATTATTATTATTATTATTTAGTATTATTGTTGACTTAAATTTTATAAAATAAATAAATAATTTTTTTTGTATTACCATTTGAATAGCATATATATATATATATATATATATATATATATATATATATATATATAGGAAGAGATTATCTCTTAATTAAATAAAAATAAATAAATAAATAATATTTATGTTAAATATTGTATTTTTTTTAATTATAATTATTATTCAATTTAAATACAAAAAAAATATTTTGTTTAAATATTTGTGTTTTTCTATCTAATGTTAAATAATAATTATAATAATAAAAAATTAGTTTAATATGCTATTCATGTTTGATATAATTAAAATAATAATCAAAATTAGTATTAAAATTATTATAAAATTATGCAATAATTTAGGATAATCTTTGTTAAAAATGTAAATTATTTTTCAAAAAAATATAATAAAATAAAATTTGGAAAAATTTACTAACCAATTATTAGTATTTTATATTACTATTAAATAATAAAATTATATAAAAATAAATAACTAGAAAAAAACTTATAATTAATTTTTTTTAAAAATATCAATAATTTATTTTACATAAAAATATATTTATTAATTATATTAGTTTATAATAAGATATAATAAAATAATTATATTATATTATTAGCCGATCGATAATATTTGTATATTTGTTTGTTTTAGTTAAAAAATAATGATTCAAAAAATAATAATAATTAGTTTGACTTTAATTTTCTTTAATACTTTTTTTAAAAATCAATGCAAACTTTATTTTATTTGTAAAATAATAATCAAAACTAAATTAATAAAAATAAAATAAATAATAGAAAATAAAAAATTTTAAGCAAAACTATTTAATGATTAGATCTTTACTTTTAAATAATTATTTTTTCAATTTAAATAAAATATTGATTTAAATCAAATTTTTCTAATCAATTAAAAATCACTTTAAAAAGTTTTTTATTTGGGCTTAATATTCATTATTTACAATTTTATTTATATAAATAAAAAAATAACTGTTTGAAAATTGATTGACAGGTATTAATGGCACTAATGTCTAGCAATTATTGTGTTTTTTTTTTGGAAATAAAACAAATGATAGGGAAATAGATTTTTTTTTGTTAAATAAAAATTTCTATTAAATAGTAAATTTCAAAATAAAACACAAATAATTTTTTTTGTTTGTTTGTAATTTTAATGTAAGTTTTATTTGTTTACACTTAACAAACAAAAAATATGTTAATTTATAGCCTGGATTACATCACGTTTAGGTTGGCCTCAATTATTATATATTAAATATATATATATATATATATACCAACAAAAAAATTATTTGACCAAAAATAAATTAAGTGTAATCTTTATTTTTTTCAGTACTATTAAAATTATTATTATTATATTTGCAACAAAAAAAATTTCAACTAATAATCTATAATTTGTTTGAATATTAAAATAAATAATTTTGTTTTCCAAATATGTATATAAATATTAATATATATATATATAGATTTTATTTTCATAAATATATATATATATATAGATTTAAATTGAAAATTAATTTTCATAAAACATAACAAATTATTACACCATAGGCTATAAACCAACAAAAAAATCAAATTTTAAAATAATTTGTTTGTTTGAAAATTATAATAAATATAATACTGTAATACCAGTAGTAGTTGATCTGTAATAATAATAATAATATTTTTCTAAAAAATATCTTCAATAAAATTAAAAATTTTCAATTTTAATTCAATTTTATATTCCCTCTAAAAAAATAAATAAAATATATACATGTATAATGTAATTATTATATGTAAATTCATTATATATATATATATATGTATTGGGAAGTCATATATTGTATGCAATTTTTTTTAATATATATATATATATATATATGAATTACAAATTATTATTATTATTTGTTTTATTTAAATTTATAGTATGTGTGTATATACCGGTAAATAACAATAATAATAATAATAATAATAATAATTTTTGTATATAACAATTAAAGGTGTTACTACTATACATAAATATTTTTTATTATTTTATTTTTTATAATAAAAAAAATCTTATTGTCTATCAAGTTGTCAAACAAATTATTTTTTAAGTAAAACTTGTATTATTATTATTATTATTATTATTATTATTAAACATTAATAACAATAATAACTTCAACAACAAAAAAATGGTTTTTTAGTTGTAATTATTTTATAAACTTTATATACATATTTGAAACAAAGATTTTTATTTAATATTATTTTTTTAAAAAACAAAAAATTATTACATTTTATTTACTTTATATATATACTTAGTATTACACAGTATATATAAAAAAAACAATTTATAATTTTATGTATAGTTCTCAATGTTTTTTTTCAAAAAAAAAATAATTTTATATGAAATATCATACAATATATATATAATACTAACAACTATTATATATATATATATATATAAAATAATAGACAACACCAACAAAAAATTAAATAATTTTTTTCTAAATGTATGACTTTATTTATATGACTCATATTGTACTAATAGTTAAGTACAATGTAAGAGGACAGGTAGGACAGGTAGATAATAATTATTAGGACATACCTTATAGGCAAGTGTTTCGTTATCTATTTCCAGTCGTTTATTAAATTTTTCTAAACTTATAATCTTATCCTCCAATTGATTGATAATACGTTTGAATTGTTGGCACATCTCTTGCAAGGCTAGCAAGTGGTCATCATTTTTAACAATATTATTATTATTATTATTATTATTAATCACTTTATTATTAGTATCACTACTATTACTACTATTAGTAGTACATGTAATAGTTTGTATAGTATTTCTACGTCTATTAATTGTTGTTGAATTTGTTGTTAATTTTTGTTTAATTAAAATTTGATTATTATTAGTACTAATAGTACTATCACTATCTGTATTATTATTACTATTATCACTATTATAATGATTATTATTATTATTATTATTATTATTATTATTATTATTATTATTTATAATATTATTTCCTTTATGTCCACTATTTAAACAAACAAACAAACAAAATAATTAATATAATTATAATTATATAAATATTTAAAATTGATTTATCAAAAAATTTAAATTTTTAATAGGCATGCCTTAAATTTTTTTTAATATTAAATAAATGTCAATCAATTAATTATTAAATGATAAAATAATTGATTGAATTAATAATAATTATAATAATAATAATAATAATACTTATATCATAATTATCATAAGCATTATGTATTATTATTATTATAATCTATTATTATATTATGTGAAAAACATTTTATATATATATATATATATATATTATAAATCATTGGTTCACAGTTAATGACATTTTAATAATAATGTTTTTTTTAAATACAATATTTTTGTTGTTGTTGTTATTATTATTATGATTATTATTATGATTTTTTAACAAGGATATTTCAACAATGAGTAACTTATTATTAAATTATCTAACACACACACACACACACACACACACACACACACATACATACATACATACATACATACATACATACACACACACATACACACACACACATACACATACACACACATACACACACACATACACACACATACATACACATACATACACACACACACACACACACACATACACACACCTACATACACATACACACACATACATACATACACATACTAATTAATGGTTAACCTTCAATGCACAAAAAACCACCACCAAAAAAATTATATTATTATTATTATTATGACATTACTATTGCTATTATAACATGCAAATAGAAATTTTTGTGAAATAAAAATTTATATTTCATGCCTTGATAATTTTAATAAATTGTTAGTATATATTAGTCTATGTGTGTATGTGTATGTGTATGTGTATGTGTATGTGTATGTGTATGTGTATGTGTATGTGTATGTGTATGTGTATGTGTATGTGTATGTGTATGTGTATGTGTATGTGTATGTGTATGTGTATGTGTATGTGTATGTGTATGTGTATGTGTATGTGTATGTGTATGTGTATGTGTATGTGTATGTGTATGTGTATGTGTATGTGTATGTGTATGTGTATGTGTATGTGTATGTGTATGTGTATGTGTATGTGTATGTGTATGTGTATGTGTATGTGTATGTGTATGTGTATGTGTATGTGTATGTGTATGTGTATGTGTATGTGTATGTGTATGTGTATGTGTATGTGTATGTGTATGTGTGTAAAAATATCAACAAAATTATATAAATATATACTTTACTTGGAAACTATTGCAACTATAAATTACTATAACTATTACTACTACTACTACTAATAATATTTTTGTGTGGAAATTTTTAATACACTTCAATGTATTAAATAAAAACAACCTATAATTAAACAATTTACTAAAAATTTTTAAAAAATTTCCCTTGACAATTTTATTATTAATACATCAAGATAACAATAACAACATTAGGATATTACACTAATGGGAAAGTTATATACCATTTAATACAAACAAACAACAAAATTAATTATAAAATAAAACTATACTTACTTTTGTATGATAAGCTTTGATGATGTCTTACTATTATTATTATTATTATTAATAGTAGTTGTATTAGACTTTAATTTCAAACTATCGCATAGATTGTCGATATTATTATTATTTTGTTTGACTACCGGTGCCATCATTGATGACGGCGATGATGATGATGATAAGCTACCATTGCTTAAATATGACTGTCCTTTATTATTATCATTATTATCGATAATTTTATTATTATTATTATTATTATTGGTTTTATAGGCGAGTATTTGTTTTTTTAGACTTTTATTTTCTGTATCCAATTGTTGTAGTCTATCGTTTGATAATTTCCATACATGCTCTAGATATTCCTCTACCTCCTAGTGCGCCAAAAAATTGACATACAGGTGCCCATAATAGTGAGACATATTAAATGTAGGAAAGGGTGAAAAAAATAAAAATATTTAATATATAATAATATAGTTTAGTATCGTTTAATTTACAGTTAATATCTATATATATATATATATATATGACTTAATAGATAGCTATCTATTAGTATTATTATTATTAGTTAACTATTATATTATAACCCCTATATATTATATATAATTAATAGTCAATATATTTTACTAATAACTATGTATTTTGTTATATTTTTTTAAAATAAAATAAATTGATATATAAACTAAATAACCATTTGAATTGATTGAATGAATTTTACAAATTTATTAATTAAGTTTTTTGTTTTGTTTTAAATACCCGTAAATTGTTTACAACAATAATAAAATCGGGTCACAAAATGCTAGTGAATATATACAATAGATTTCCACTTATTATATATCATATTATTATTATTATATTTATTAAGTATTATTGAAAAACATTTACTTAATTTTTTTATTCATTCATAAAGAAAATTAGTTTTATTTCACCAAAAAATATAAATTTCAACTAATATTTTTCAATAGTAAATAATTTTCACTTTCAATAAAATAATAATAATAATAATACTTTACTTACAATTAACATAATTTCTAATACAAAAAACTAATAATAATTATTATTATTACTTGTATTTTGTATTTTGTAAATAAATAATATTTTGTTTGTTTGTTTTTATTTAGAAAAAAACTAAAAAATTAGTTTAAAAAAATACAAAATTTTTATATTTATTCAAATCAAACTTTAACTATTAATTTTTTTTAAAAATAAATTTGAATAATATTAGATTTAATAAATATTATAACTTAAATCAAAATTAATTAATGAAAATTTTATATGTAATATATTATAATAATAATAATATATAGAGAAATACAAATAAATGTTAACAATACTAATAATTATAAATAAATTTTAATATATAGAGTATCTTTTATTTTATTTATTGTTTAAAAAAATAAATAAATATTATTTACATAAAATTTACATTAATTTTTTTTAATAGTAATTTTTATTAATTTCAATTAACTCAACAAGATTTCTAACATTTATTATAATTACAATATTGAATAACTTTATCATTATTAAAAAAAATTATATTAAATATATAATTATTAATCATTATATTTTGGTGTATGACTGTATTTATGGGTGTTATATTGTATTCACCCTTTAATATAACTAATTAAAAAAATAAATTTAATAAACGTATATATAATAATAATAAAATATAATCTAAATTGAATAGTAAATTGAATATTAAAATTTAATTATTATTTAAATATTATATAATATTGTAAACTATAGTATCATATTTATGTAACTAACATATACTGTATATATATATATATATATATATATATATATATATATATATAGTTTACAATATTATATAATATTTAAATAATAATTAAATTTAATATATATATATAAACAGTAATATTTAAGAGATAACAATATATTTATACACCCATTAATTATACAAAATAAATATTTTTTAATAAAAATATATATAACTATATGTATATATTCAATAAGATTTTTTTAAAACTAAATAAAATTTCCCAAAAAAATATATATAAATATTTGAATAGTTAATTAAACTTATAATTAATGAAAACAAAAACATTGACAAAAATAATTAAAATCAAATAATAATAATAACATTTTTTGTTGAAAAAAAACTCTACAATAACTACATATTTTTTGAAAATAATTTTAATGACTTAAAAAATAAATAAATAAATATAAAAATGTTTGAATTTAAATTAAACTAATAACTTGTAATAAAATAATTCAAATTTTAATTAATTAATAAATAAAAGTCTAATTGAAACAATAAATAAAAAATAATTTTTATATAATACTAAAACTATATTAGTTAAACTAAAAAATTATTAACTAAAAATTATTAACTAATTATTATTAACTAAAATTATTAACTATAATTTTTAACTACAATTTTTAATTACAATTTTTAACTACAATTATTTACTGCAATTATTAACTATAAATTATTAACTATAAATTATTAACTATAAATTATTAACTAAAATTAGTAACTAACATTATTAACTAACATTATTAACTATAATTATTAGCTATAAATTATTAACTATAAATTATTAACTTTAAATTATTAAACTATAAATTATTAAACTATAAATTATTAACTTTAAATTGTTAACTATAATTTTTAACTACAATTTTTAACTACAATTTTTAATTACAATTTTTAACTGCAATTATTAACTACAATTATAAACTATAAATATTAACTTTAAATTATTAAACTATAAATTATTAAACTATAAATTATTAACTTTAAATTATTAACTTTAAATTGTTAACTATAATTTTTAACTACAATTTTTAACTACAATTTTTAATTACAATTTTTAACTGCAATTATTAACTACAATTATAAACTATAAATATTAACTTTAAATTATTAAACTATAAATTATTAAACTATAAATTATTAACTATACTTATTAACTAATTATTATTAACTATAATTAATTAATCAAAAATTCATACAAACCTTGAGATCCTGTTCATGTTGTCGATGAAGTTTGTCGATCTGCCGGCGCAACGATTGGCAATTGGTTTCGGCGTCGACCAGCCATCGCCAACAGTGCGGTAATTTTTGGCCATCAGTTAGCACTGTTACGTCCAGGCCTTCCTGCAGGAAACGGTTGGATAGGGCCAGCCGTTCGTCATCACCACTGGCCTGTTGTTGTGGTTGATTGAGTGGACAGGTATTAGATTTAGGAGACAATAGTTTATTAGAAAATATATTCATTTAATTATATATTATTAGTAAAAATAGTAATTTTTTATTTATAATTATAATTATAATAGTTATCAACTTATTTATAAATTATATTTAAAAAATATTATTTAATAATAAAAATTATTATTATTATTATTATTAAGTAGTAATTTATTTTTATATATTAGATTTAAACTGTAATAATAATAATAATTATTAATTATTATTATTACCATTAAATGGCTATTAATATTTTGTTGTAATTTTATAAATATTATTTATTTTGATTTTCTATGTCATTAACAAATACAATAAACACATAAAAATAATTTTTGGTTGCTATCACTAAATATATGATAATTTTGTGTGATTTTTATAAATATAAACACAAAAATTTAATTTTCCATTGAATTATATATATATATATATATATATATATATATATATGTATATATATTTTTCAACTAAAATAAACTAATATCTTATCAATAATTTTAAACATATATATTATTGATTTGACAATTTTGACTCTATATCTATAAAAATTTTCAAATAAATTATCAAATTTTTGACATTATTTTTATCTATATTTGTTATCAATTGATATATTGTAAACTAAATTAGATTAAATCAATATAATATTGAAAAAAATAATTATTTTGTATAATTATAATAATTGTTACAAAAATAAACAAATAAATTAAAAATAATTTTTTTTAAAAAAACAAATTACATATTTATGATTATCATTGTCCCATAGTTTCCAAAATCCCATTTAATGGTATAATTTTTTTTTTAAAAAGTTTTAATTAAAATATTAAATATAATAATAATATATTTTGTTTTAAAAAAATATATTTACAACACATTAGTGAATGAATGTGTTTAAAACAAATCAATAAAAAAATTATTCAATTAATTATTAAATATTAAATGTTTTTTCAATAATTATTTAATTATTTAAACACAAAACACATTACATATTTAAATATTATTATTATTATTATTATTTAAAAATTTTCTGTTTATATGTCAATAGTTTAAATAAAATGACAGTAAAGTGTTTTTTGTTATTATTTTCTTAAATATTTTAATAATAAATAACACATAAAACACACAAATATTTAAATTTTTAAATACAAAAACAATAAGTTATTCAATAATTTTTTAAAACTATAAAATCGTTTTCATTGTTGAGATAATTTCCAAATCATTACTATATATTATAACATTAAAAACATTATTATTATTATAAAACTATAGTTTAAATTATTTAAAATAAAATTATTATTAATTTAAAAATTGTTATATAATTGTAGTTATAATTAGTTGTATTAAAACACACGACTATCCATTAGTTAGTATTAATAATACTAATAAGTTAAAGATATTATAAGTTATTATAACACAACTTGTATCACAAAAATAATTAATAAAAACTGAGTAAAAAAAACTTTTATTTTATCCAAAAAATTATATATAATATATATAAATCTCTAAATCATTTTGATATACTGTATATTATATGTAATATATATATATATATATATATATATGACATCAAAAATCAGATTAAAATTTATTTAGCTTTTGTTGTTAACTAAAACTGTATTATTAATAGAGAAAATAAAAACAAAACAAAAAACTAAAAATAATATACAATTAAATATAATAATAATAACACTAACACTAATAAATTAATTTAATTGCCTTCAAAACAATTTGATTGGAAAAATTAAAAAATTAAAACCACAAATAAAATTAAATTTAATATATATTTTTTGCTTTAAACAACAATCAGATAATACCACATAATAAACAAAATCAAAATTTAAAAAAATTAAGTTTTGTGGCCTATAAAAAATATTTTTTAAAAAATAATAATTTATACACTATATTGAAATAAATAATTTAATTTATGTTAAAATTATTTAAAATGTAGTTTTAATTTTACAGTAAATTTTATAATAATTTACAAAACAATAATAAATTTTATAATAAACTAAAAATCATTTAACACTTTTAATAATGTAATATTTCACAGTTAAATAAATAAATTGATTACAAAAAAATACGTATAACTACTACATAGTTAACACATTTATTAAAACAAAAAAATAAATTAAAATAATATTATCAATAATTGTGAACAACAACAACAATAATAATAAAATACATTATTTTTAATAATAATTTTTTCATAAAATAAAATTATTTTGTTGTTTATAATATTGTAATAATATTTTTCACCCAAATGTTATTGCATTAGCGATTGTAGTGGGAAAGTGTGTGGGGAATCGGGATCATACATGCATGCGCTCAGGTAGGCTCAGGTAATCATAATAATACCTGTTTATACATTACATTTGACGTTTTCAAATACAGTTATAAAGTAATGTAAAATATCATATGATTTATATATAAATTTTTTTTAAAAAAAACASTGAAAACTTGAAGGAAATTATTTTGTATGACAAACATATGCCTCATAAACACACACACACAYACACACACACACACACACACACACACACACACACACACACACACACACACATACATACATACATACACACACACACATACATATACACATACATACATACATATATATATATATATATACACACATACATACATACATATACACAGACACATACACATACACACACACACATAAATACACACACATACACACATACACACATACATATACACATACATACATACATATACACAGACACATACATACACACACATAAATACACACACATACATACACACATACACACACCTACACACACATACATACACACATACACACACACATAAACATACACATACACACACATACACTAAAAGCTTTTCAATGTATTAATTGTTTATTTGGTTTTATGGCTAATAAAACAAAACAAAATTTTTATAAAAAACGGGATCAAAAACGGGAACACCATTAGACTCTCGTTAGGGTTGATCAGTCAAGTCTAGTGCCTTTCAATTAATAAATCCAATAAATATCTACAAAAAATTGTGTATTATATATATATATGTATACCGGTATATATGTAGTGATTGCAAGTGAGTGAGTGAGTGAGTGAGTGAGAGAGAGAGAGAGAGAGAGAGAGAGAGAGAGAGAGAGAGAGATTAATGTGAATTAATGTGAAAGAGATTTCAGTAAAAATTGTAATTAATTTTTTATTTCGTTTAAAACTAATTTTTTCACTTTTATAGCCAAAGAGATAAAAAATTTGTTTATAATTTTCTATACATTTATATCAAATAATTGTATAATGACTATCAAAATTAATAGCAATAGCAATAATAATAATAATAAATACAATCTATATTAAAATCCTATTAAATAATAATAATAGTGTGAATTATACCAATAAAATTATTATATTATTATTTTTAACATTATTATTATTATTATTAGGAAATAAATCATAGTATTAATATAATATTTATTAATTTAAACTAAAATAATCTATAATTGCCTTAAAAAACAAATTGTTTTAAAATAGTTTCTATATATATATATACTATATTTGAATTACGATAATACAGTATAACAGTATAATACTGTACTATTAATTTATATATATATATATATATATATATATATATATATATATATACTATACTACTACTACTACTACTACTACTACTACTACTACTACTACTACTACTACTACTACTACTACTACTACTACTACTACTACTACTGTATCTTTGATGATAAACAAGATATATAATTATATTTAGATATAATTACTTAATAATAATATTTTTTAAAAAAAATATTGGGGGATAAAAATGAGGATAACTTTTAACACACACACACACTCATACACATACACACAACTACTGTATGGATACACAACGTTTCAATCATCATATTATGTGATATGTTTTTTTTTTGGTATAAATTATCATATTTTTTTATTTAATATTATATATATAAGCTTAAGGCAACAAAAAATATATACAATATTTTATATATATATATACAGTATATAATGTAATGTATTATTACTTAATATTTAAATGTTTAAATGTTGATATAACTAAAATTATACAGTAGTTATACTGTATATACAGTATATGTTTTACTTATTTATTTTAGAAAATATTGTCTAAAATTTTGTTTTTTACCGATTTTTATATTAATTTTTTTTTCTAAAAAAAATTATTTTATTTTACATCAATGTTGTTGTTGTTGTTGTTTTTTGTCAACAAAAATAAATGGATAAATAAATAGCTAACAAAAAATTTCAATATATTTTTTTTATTATATATTGATTGACATGGCATAAAATTTTTCACCCCTCCGCCCCCCCCCCAAAAAAATAAGTGTATATAATTTCTAATAAATACTAAAACATATAATTGAAACATCTAAAAAAAATAATGTTACTTTCAATTAAAATTTTTAGATTAAAATATTTTTTTTATATGTTTTTATTATTTTTATTGAATGTATTTTTCTGATTCACACATCATTGGGTTTTTTTTGTATACATATTATATAACAATTATTATATAAGATATCAATATATATATACAGTATATATTGATAATATATTATATAAGATACAGTATATTATATAACATATTTATTATTTAACACATACAATCATCACAATAGCTATTATATCACTGGATATTCAATATATATTATTTAGTTTAAAATATCATAACTGATATCTCAATTTTTTTTCAATTGATTTTTATCAAACATAAAAAAACATACATATTTTACATGATATAATCAAAAGTTATTATTATTATTAATTTTACTTTTATATTATTATTTTTTTTTGAACAAAAAATGTTGATGACATGATCACGGTTTTCAATTATTATTATTTTTATTATTATTAATGATTATTATTATTATTAATAAGAAAATTTAAATTAAAAACTTTTAAAAAATTTGTCGATTACTATCATATCACATGATATCTGATATTTTTTTAAATATATTATTATTAAGTAATAATTGTTATATAAAATAAAATCTATAAGAAATCTAATATATAATATATATATATATATATTAAATAAAATGGGATAAAAAAAATGGGTAACGTTTTTGAGGAAAATTTGATATTAAAAAATAATTTTTGGTTTAACTCTTTATTTTACTTTATTTAAAAAAAATAAAATTTGCAAAATGTTTAACTGTCTCTAAGCTGATAATTAATTATAATTTTTTTTGGTTAAAATTATTTTATTTTTTTTTTGGTTTGTTTGGCAACAA